CCAACACCGTTGCATGTACGGGAACTGACTTCCTCAGGCTCCCTTCGCAGATCATGACTGTTCTTGGTGGTACCTAACATTTAGATTTAAATAGGACTAGCTCCACCTGCTGGTTACCGAGTTCTCCATCTAACTTGGTCTTGAGAGTGACAACTGATTTGCCTATAGATAGCACGCCTTGTCCGCAATCAATCTTCACACTTTCTGCTTGCGTAGTCGTACCCCAAGATCGCTGGTTTGTTTAAATTCTCGATGATCAAAAATGGAAACTTAGTGCGGTGTCGACCAATGGTTATAGGCAAAGCAGTTTCTTCCACTACTTTTAACGAGTGTCCGGTTACTGACGTGAGTATATGCTTGTGTGTTGTTGACATCCCGCTTACTTGTCGTACTTTTCTCGGCAGTCTTCTCCAAAGCTCCTCGCTAATGAGCGTACTCTGAGCTCCTGAATCTATCAAACCGTTCATAGTTACCCCTCCTATACTTAGCAAGCATACAGGTGCTGCTCGCTGTTTATCATTCGTACCGTGAACTTCCTTTGACCTGTTCCCCCTCAGTAGAGACTGCTCGTTCTTCACTCAACTCTTCGTCTTCCTTAAAACCGAGCATTGGCGTTTTCCTGTTGACTGGTGGTTCGGCATTGCCTCCATCTATGACCTACGAAGCCACATGCTGCGCAAATGGGTTGATTATCTGCCGTCCACTTGTATTAGACTCCACCTGGGGGTGCACGAGTATCTCGCTGTCGCAAACTCGTCGGATACAAATTCGCACGCTGTCCCTGCCATGCTGCGTTGCAAAATGTGGTGCGTGGAGGCGGGTTTCCGGTCATACGTTGATTTGGGAAACGCTGTTGCGGCCACTGCTCTGGCGCCGGTCTGACGTGACATCGCTCGGTATCCACAAGCGGCTGGTATGTACCTGCTGTCGCCGTGTTCCTTGGTACAGACCGCGGTGTATACGTGCGAGGTACTGGATTTTTTTGTGCTGTGTCTAATGCCATGATATCCGTCACAATTCCCCTCAATTCTTGAATTTGTTGCTGTATTTCCGGCGTTTCCTCCACACTGTCTACCTCCATGGCTTCGTCTGGGTAGTTACTTGCTGTATTTGTGCTTCGACTGACACGCTGTCAGGCTTGATGCGCGACAGAGCATCTGCATTCCTGTTGGCAACTCCACTCCTAAACTCAACAGTTGCGTTATGCTCGCCTATAACCGTAGACCATCTAAGCAATTTTGCATTTTTTAGATTCGAACTAGAGTAAATACTTTAGGGGTTTATGATCACTGACGTTAACGAACTTAGCTCCAGCGAGGTAGTGTCTCAATTTGGTCAACTCAAAAATAATGGCAAAAGCCTCCCTCTCTATAACAGGCCAACGCATCTGTCCTTCATTCAACTGATGACTAACGTACTGGATCACAACTTCCTGTCCTTTATCATCTGTCTGAGCGAGTACTGCACCGACTGCGTAAGAGGAAGCGTCTGTAAACAAACGGTACTCCTTGTCTGTATCCGGATAAGCCAATATCGGGGCTTCTGTTTTAATATGCGGAATGCTTGTTCTGCATCGTTATCCCAAGCAAACTTGGCGTACTTGTGTGTTAGTGCAGTCAATGGCTTCGCAATGGTAGCAAATGATTTGATATGAGCCCGGTAATAGCTCGCCATTCCTGATCGTACCTCCTTGACTGTTGTCGGCGATTTGAGTTGTTTAATCAC